TCCCTACAAATTGGGGGCTCTTTAAACAGTGTTTGAAAAACAGGCATCTGGGCAGGTTTTTTTCTTGCTTATGCTTTTTACTCTAAACTGAGAATAACCTCAAGGGCTATGCTTTTAGAGGATTAGCTTTTTCAGTTCTAGAAAATGGATGAGGACGTCACCAATTGTCCTAAACTTAGGCATTGCCCAAGACAAAACGTTGGCATGCCAAAAGTATTGAGGGATCCAGAACATTCTCTCAAATACCATCCTCATGAGCAATACCCAGTTCAGCTAAATCCTGCCCAACTATGTTCTCCTCTGTGGTGTGTGTGCATGTGCATGTGCGTGCGTGCGTGCGTGTGTGTGGGTGTGTGTTGAGGAAATTCTGACATCTACACATGAGGCAGGAAAGAAAAGATTAGCAAATGTTGCTTAGATAAATAGTGCCTCTCACACCACTTGCCGGCATTTTTAACCAGGGATAAAATACAACTTGATTTCAGTGTTATTGATATTATTTCTGGCTCTTGAAGACCTATGAAATGAAAACTAAGCTTTAAAAGCTTTGCCTTTAATTGCTGCTGAGTTAAGTGGTTTTTTTTTTTTTTCTTACACCTTCATGCTGACACATAATTTAGAAAATCAATCAGGGAGATGAGGAATAAAAATATGGGTCTAAAGTACTCCTGGCGAATTACAAAATGCTGTAATAAACTCCGAATGTCCCAGAGCACCACTGAGGGCCTGGGGCTCTTGTGGGGATTACTGGACAGCTGGGTGTCACACAGCAAGGGTGAGAGCAGAGGAGGGGGGGGGGGGGGGGGGGGGGGGGGGGGGGCGGCAGAGGAGGCCTCTGTCTGCTCTGAGAAAGGTGTTCCTTGTTAGTGAAAATCAATCTTGCATAACATCTCTTCAAACACTGAGACTGTCAAATTATGGGGGAAGGCTGTAAGTAGTTTTAGAAATTGAAGGTGATATTTATGCCTTACATAAATGGACACTGTCAGTAAATACGGCCCAACTTCAAATCCATCCCTCGGCAATATTATAAAGGATGTAAATGTGTCTTGGGTCTCCTGCTCTCTCTGTTCCCTTTTTCTCCTAAGTGGCTTCTTTTTTCATTTACCAGGCTCCCAGTTTTCTCCATTCAGGAGGACATGCCTGTAAACAATCACACCTTTAGTGTGCATTTAAGCCTCCATTTTCCCTCCTTAAGGGGTGATATTGCTCCCAAGAGAACAAAATTTTCTTGGGTGGTGAAAAAAAAATCTTATTCTCTTTTTGTATATAGCACGGATAAACAAACAATGCACAAACAGATACACAGAATCTATCTGGCGTATTAACAATTTCATAGGTGGGAGCAAGTGGGAAAAATATGTCTAAGAATCCAGCGTAGTGGTGGGTACAGTAGTGAAATGAGGTTGGGAAACACTTCTGTAGATCGAAGGGCTTTGGCCCAAGTTAAACTAAGTTGCCACTTCCCAGCAGGTCAATTCTTTGGCAAGACTCTCTGCCAGTTCCTCTTCTGAGGGTAAAGAGGCTGAAGAAATTTACTGTTCCAGTAAATTCCAGGTTGACTGACTAGTGCCTGGTCAGTGCCTGGTCCCAGTCAACCATGAGTTGGGGGTAGGGAGAAAATTTGAATTGATAGTGCAGTGAGTCATTCCAGCTTGGGACATGAGAATTTTCAGAATTATGCAAGAGGCATTAGGGAAAAAAGAAGAAGAAAAGGGACAAAGAGGAGGAAGAGTAGATGAAAGAGGAGAAGGAAGAAGGAGGAGGAGGAGCAGTGGCTGTGAGTTACTGTCCTTTTCTGTGCAGATTATTTATCCCCGCTTCTTGGCTTTTCTTGGTTGAACACATCTGACTGATAATCTTTGCGCTAGGCTGGAACACTGCCTTGGGAACTGAACCGTGGGGAGGTAAATGCTTGTTTCGTGTGATGTCTCCTGCAGGAGTTCAATCCTGTCCTTCCCACTGCTGAGCCAAATCCAGCTCTGTGATCCTTCAGAGAATGCAAAGCTTTCCTTCCCTACCTTTGGCAATTTCTGACTTCTTAGGTCTTTTATGGGTTCTTAGTCCTTTCTTTTGGTACCTGATCTTGTGTCTGACATCAGTCAGGGACATATTGGCTGTCAGTGTGTTTTGCTAAGTCTTGCAGATAAATAACCAGGCAGCCATCAGGGCATCGGAGCAGCATAGTGTTGTTACAAGGATTAAATTAGCACCAAACTTTAAGAAGTAAAGGAAGAAGCACACAGGAAATTTCTAACCTATAACTCTAATTCTCTACCTGGTAAATTGCTGAAACAATCAATAGCACTGACAGTCTGGAAGCCCCCTTGGGAAGTAAAGGTGATAAATGGGTTGTAGTCCCATAATGGAGAGAATGGGGTCTGCAAATGGAGGCCCTTCTCAAGGGGGACATTGGGGGGGGGGGGCTGCCATGGTAACCTCAGCAGTGTGCGCCTTGTGTCTCACAAGTAGGTCTGGAATGTATCAGGCTATTTGGTTGAAACAAGCAAAAGGAAGGGCTCACTGTGGGGTTGTCCAAGGGTTTTCTGGGGTGGGTCACATGATCACAAATCTATATGTTTTTGGGCCACATGAATTTTTCATTGATTACAATAGTGAGAGTTGGGAGAGTCCCTGAAGGGCAAATGAGTGTCAGACTTGATTCAGACATGAATCACATGCATTTAGGGCCTTATTCATATCTCCACTTGGGTCATTAATCCTTTAGCGTCCCAAGGTTAAGGTATGCTTTTAGTAATGCTGGATATTAAGGGCTCAAGTTTGCGTGATTGATTACATTGAATTTGCTTTATACCAACTAATTAATCCATGCCGGCTGGTATGACACCTGGCAGTGGTCAGTCATACAAGGATAATGGAAAGATGGTCAGGCCCTGTGGCCCATGCATTCATGTGGATCAAACGATTTGGAGAAAAAAATTTTTTTTTCTCAGAACCTCAAGTAGGATGCCTTAGAGACTGGTGGGTTGCAATTAGTCATCCTCAGATCTTATTTGGCTGCCTGTGCCTTTGAGGCATGAGTAAGAGCTGAGTAAGAACTGGGGATCCCTTTGGGCACATTGTCTAGAAGTGGGAGCGGTAGAACAGTCCCACTGTCAGCGCATTCAAGGCCAGGAAACCTGGCTTCAAACTTCAGCTCTGCAAGAGACTCTTGGAATGACCTTGAACAAGTCATCTGGGTCTCTTTGACCTGAGTTTCCCCTCTGTTATATGCAGATAATTCTACCACTCTTAAAAATGAGATTTTGTGTTCATATGTGAATGATCTTGACGTATCACAGATATTGAGGAGATGCTTAGTCTGATTTTTACAGAGGTGTGTGCTTGGTCCTGGCTGGGGAGTCAGTGCCTTGATCCTCAGGATGATACGCGACACTGAAGGACTCAGAGAGAAGATCCATGTCTATGTTCTCGACTTAAACTGACTTAAGGAATCTCGCCGCTGAATGAGGTATCCTATTTTGTTCCTTGTCTTTCTAATGACTGTGCCAAGATGGTCACAAGTAGTATGTGTCATTTCTGCCCCCATTCTTTTGAGTGGAACTCAGTCACACAACCTCAGCCTAGCTCATGGGGGCTTTGGAATGCCATCCCTGGATGGGCAGTCACATCCCAACAACATCTTTGCTCCATGCAGGGACAGGAGCACACACAAGTAGTAAATGTAGAAGGTCCTAGCACATGGAGGGGACGGGGCGTGAGATGATAGGAATTAAGAGGACAGGAAAAATGTTGGTTAATCTACCAAAAACACTTTCTTGCCACACTAAGAAAACAGCTGTCTGTCTCTAGCACCTGGCCTCTTACCCACTCTCGTAAATGAATGCTTTTATTTATTTATTTATTTTTTTAAAAATTTTTTTTTAATGTTTTATTTTTATTTCTAGGAGGGAGAGAGAGAGAGAGAGACAGACAGCGTGAGCAGGGGAGGGTCAGAGAGAGAGGGAGTCCCAGACTGAAACAGGCTCCAGGCTCTGAGCTGGCAGTCAGCACAGAGCCCGACGCGGGGCTCGAACCCACGAACCGCGAGATTATGACCTAAGCGAAAGTCGGACGCTTAACCGACTAAGCCACCCAGGCGCCCCGTAAATGAATGCTTTTAAAGTCAACTCTCTGAGAGTATCTAAAAATACCACTTGACAACCATTTTGATTTCCCATTCATTGTAACCATTTCACTGCAATTTGGGACACATCTACTGGGTAGAGTAGGACATACCTGGAGAAAAGTGAAATTTGACCCTGACAGGATTGCTAAGATAGGCTTATTTTTATTTGCGCTTATTGTGTTAGGAAATTGACAAGAGACATTTCAGAGCCTGAGTGCAGGGTTACGTGGCAGATTAATGAACCGTCAGGGAACAGGACCCAGGAGCCTAATCCCAACCGTGGCCCTCAGGACCCATTTACGACATGGATAAACTCAAGCTATGCTTTCGAGCTCCAATTTCTGCTGTCCATGAAGTTTCTTTGTTATTCTGGGGACAATAGTAAATAAAGGTCCCCCTGCCGGCCAGCCAAGCATCTTTTAATGGTGGGCGTGTTTATGGTAAAACTGCCTTATGGAAAACAACTTACCATTTAATTGTGCTGTGTGACTGGAAATGATGAACAATTTCCTCCATTTAATTCCCTAGGAAAATGAGCAGCTGCTAGACCCAGAACCTGCAGTATCAGGCAAGTGTAAGGTCTGGAATGGGGTGAACACAGTTTCTGCTGCCTTCAGCCCATGTGTTCCTAACATTCCGTATTCCTGGACATAATAGTTTTCTTCATGTCCTCCCTTATTAAGAGTTGAGTTAAAATGGAATTTTCCTTAATGATGGTAGGTGAAAGCAGTTTCACAGAATCAATTTCAATTTTAAGAGCACCTTGAGGATTACCGGGAGTTTGTAAGTTTTATTAAATTGAATTGTATTGTATTAATAGGCATTTCTGAAGCCAAGATTCTAGAGATCAGAATGTCAAATTTTTTCCCTCTTGGCTTCACTTCAATGATGATAATGGAAAAAATGATCTTTAGCTGAGACTTCTGAACGACATGCCTTGCCGTGCCAATCCCTTTAGCCACTCAAGCCTGCTACCGTTTAAAGTTGAGGGTCTGTCTGGATTTGTATGAAGACTTTTCAAGGATTCAAATCTTTCTTTTTAGAGCTATTACTTGTATTTTCTACTCAGGGGGTAAAAGGACAATAATGTTGAAGTGCACAAAATTTATCCTTAGGCTCAGCTATCCTCGGGATTAGTACTTGAGGAGAGAGAATAACACGATTCTCTCTTTTTGACTGATAAGTGCTGTCCTAGCTAGGACTTCGTAATAGGATAAAATGCTGTCCCTTTATGGAAGATTCTTAAGGTGATTTGCCCCTGTTGGTTTGGACTCCTGGTGAGACGGCTCTGTGTGACCTGCTTCGAAATCTTCAAGGTCATTTGCGTGTCTTATAAAGTTAGGGATTCCAAACTTAACTGTGCATTGGAATCACTTAAAGAACTTTCCAAAAAAAGAAAATATGGAGTATTTAGGCTACACCCTGGACATGTTAACTCTGAATTTTGGGAGGTGGCACTGGGGAATTCATGTATTTTAAAAACTGTGCCTCAGGTAGATTTTGATACAGTTGGTTCCTTCCATTTGGGAATTGTGCTGGATATGTTTTTTGCTCCTTACATGATGTCCTTGTCCTTCTCTTTGCTCTGAGATGCTGGGTCCTTCAGGAGCTCTCTTGTTCTCTGGCTTCTTGGACTTGATGATGGGAACCCTCACCAGGAGGTAAGAGGGAGGAAGGTGGTGCAGTCCGGCATATGTTCTGCTGATTCCACGTGCCTCCCGGCTGCCTGAGGCATCTCCTTGGGCTCGCTGTGGCCCTTATACTCAAGACATTGCTTTCTTCTCCTTCTTTTTATGGTGTAAAATTGGCATATAACATTATATGTTTCGGGTATACGATGCTAAAATTCGCTATCTGTATACACAGTGAAGGGACCACCACCAAGTCTGGTCACCATCCATCACCTTACAGTTGACCCCCTTCCCTGCTGGTAATTTGTAATCAATCTCTTGCTGCAAAGCAGTTGAAGCCAGAAGTCCATAATGAACTAGAGGAGTTTATGGTGACAATTAATCTGATTCTAACAAGTGAGAAACAAAGTATAAAAATGCCAGGATTTTTGCAGTATTTGTACCAAGATAGAGAATGACCATAAAAATCTCTTCTGCTGCTGAGAGTTGTGCAGTTGGCTCTTAAAGAGCTGAGTGTTCCTGGGGCACCTGGGTGGCTCCATTGGTTAAGCTTCCAACTTCAGCTCAGGTCATGATCTCGCTGCTCGTGGGTTTGAGTCCCGTGTCGGGCTCTGTGCTGACAGCTCAGAGCCTGGAGCCCACTTCGGATTCTGTGTCTCTGTTTCTTTCTGCCCCTCCCCCCACTCATGCTCTATTTCTCTCTTTCAAAAATAAAGAATAAACATGTTTTTTTAAAGAGCCAAATGTTCTAAATTTGCTGATCGTTTCTTGGGGTGGCAAATGACTATTAACAGTGTGCTGGCTAGGAGCCATTTTTTATTAAATTTTTTTTAAAGTTTACTTATTTTGAGAAAGAGAGAGAGTGAGAGAGTGAGTGAGCACCAGTAGGGGAGGGGCAGAGAGAGAGGGAGAGAGAGAATCCCAACCAGGCTCCTCACTCTCAGTGCAGAGCCCTCATGAGGGGGTCAAACTGAAACTGTGAGATCATGACCTAACCTGGAATCAAGAGTGGGATGCTTAACTGCTTGAGCTACCCAGGTGCCCCTCTTGTTACTTCTTGAAAAAATATTTTAATTTATTTGGCACTCTTCAGAAATCACATGCTATCTGTTAGCATTCCATTATCATTAAGGAGCAACTGATGGGTAATTAATTGAAGGGATTACACACTTACCTAATTAGATAATTTTTCAATTTTGGTTAGAGTGGAATGTACAGAATCACATAAATCACTATTAGAGTTGAGCTAATAAACAAAACCTTTAGTTTTGCCCCCAGTTGGTCAGAAGGGGCCTCTTCATTTGGAAGTGTTCACTCCCATGGCTTCTGATGGCCTGCAATGACAAGGCCAATTATCATCTCTGATTGGGGCCAGAGACCACACAGTCACCTATTTTTTTTTAATTGTTGAAGTATAATTGACATACAGTGCTATATTAGTCTCAGATATGACGTTTGTCAACCTAAAGGAGAATTTCTTAGAGACTAGAAGTCTTCTCCATAGGACGTCTTTTAATTGATCCTCCCTCTTGGGTCAAGTGAACAAATAGATTAGTGTTAGGAAACAGTTGAACCTTGTTGGGGGGGGCCTTCTAGCAACTTCTGGATTCAGAAGAGAAGTTTGTAAGGATGGCACTCAGCTCTAAGACCTGCAAGTTTCGACATTACTTATGAGGACCAGTCCTACACACAGTCTCCTTTCTGACTTTAAGAAGGGTTTACTTATCCTGGTTATCTTTGGAACTTGGGAGTGCCAACTGTCCTATTTTCCAGCACATTCTACCTCTATTGGTTTCCTCAATATTGCCACACAGGTGAGTGATTCTTCTGTCAATAACAGCCATTCGGCTCAAACAGCTGCCCCTGATAGCTGCCATTTTATTTTTTCACTTCCTTCCCTCTTAGATTTTTCCACCTGTTGACTTTTATTTGTTGCCCAATAGATTCACTAGCAGCCTTTCTTGGACTGCCTAGCTGCTACCTTCTACTTCCTCAGAAGGTGAGGTCCCCCAGCTGTCCCTAAAGAGCTTGGCCCAAACCCTTGCTATACTCAGTCTGCTCCTTTAGCACCAAAGTAGACTACCCTCTGTCCTGTGTAGCAAAAATAACACATGGTCCCATCATGTCATGCAATTTTGAGATGACAGGCATCATGATAATTTGCTACATTCATCCAACTTTCCATCCTCTTCTTCAAAAATGGAGAGAGAAGGTCAGAATGTCCTCTGCCGTGCCCACCTTTGACTCCTGGACCAACAGCTGCAGTTTCTGTGACTCTCCGGGGAAGGGCCAGGGGCCCTGGGCTCACTGACGGACCCTCCTGCTTGCTCAATTTTTTCTGCGATTCATCATCAGACAGTTGCACATAAGGGAAGTCTGGAGAGTCTCAGATGCATGCTTGCCCTTTCCTTTGTCTCTGCTCTGTCTGTTTAGATTAGAAACCCATGAGGCATGTCTACCTCCATGCTCTCTGCAGCGCCCACCAATTGCAGACGCTCCTGGAATGTGGATGATTGATGACGGTGTTAATCTGAGTAATAACAGACATTTTGGGTTTAATTGCAGGGAAGCTTCTCAGCACTGGGCTGTGGCTGCATGAGTTCTGCAGAGGAGGAAGGAGCCCAGCTAATGGGCAACTAGGATGGTCCTGTTCGAAAGGCTCCTCCCTTAAAAACAGAAACGAATTAACCAATCAGGCAAATACAAAGCCTTCACATAAGCTGTGTTATCAATACTTTTTAACAGCAGCACCAGTGTGTTTCAGCTGCTTCAGATTTTAAGCCAAAGGGAGTGAGGTGATTTTGTAGGAGGGCTCTAAGGCAGTGACTATTTTCTGAGAACTTGCTAAGTGTCAGCTTCTTTATATATGTTATGTAAAATTACACATAATTTCCTCATTTTGGAGACAAGAAAAAAACTGAGCTCCTGAGAGGTGGGGTGACTTGTCCGAATCACATTCTGTATAGACTGAATGTTTCAGTCCCTCAAAAATTCAGATGTTGAAGCCCTAATTCCCAATGTGATATTATTTGGAGCTTTGGTCTTTGGGAGGTAATTAGGTTTAGTGAAGTCTTGAGGATGGGATTAGTGTCCTTATAAGAGGGGAGGAGAGACAAGGAACATACTCTTTCTTCTCTCTACTATATGAGGACATAGTGAGAAGGTCTGCAAGACAGGAAGCAGGTCTCATCAGGAACCAAATCTGCTAACACCTTGATCTTGGACTTCCCAGCCTCCAGAGCTGTGAGAAATAAGTATTTGTTGTTTAAACCACCCAGTGTGTGGCATTTTGTTGTGATAGACTGAGCTAAGACATACAGTTAGGAACTACTTCTTGGCCTTCAGATTTGTACACGGTCTGCTGAGGTCAGTGTCCTAATTTATTCTAATCAGTGTTCTTCCTTTGGGTTCAATAAAAAAGTCCTTTTTATGCTAATGTAGTAGGACAGTCCATGCATCCATTTGTTTTTGTCCCTTTCCTCAGCAACCCCTCTCGAAGGACAGGGAGGGAGTGCCTGTGATCAGGTAACAGTGGATAATGAGTCACTGTTAGGCTGTGAGAACCATCACTGTCAGCCACAGGTATGGTGGCTGCCCCTTCACCTGGAGCCAGGCCTCTGAGCAGAAAAAGGCAAAAGACTAAGGCACTAAGGCAGAGGTGAGGAAGGAGGGAGCCCACAAAGAGAAGGGTCCATGGACATCCATTAGATGAGGACTCCACAGGACCACTTGGCACTGAAATGGGAAGAGGGATGATTTACACCATCATCTGGACCCTGGGAGTGTTTGTGATCACCCAACAGCAAGATTTCCTTTCTAGGAATGAACGATACCTTCAGTGTCCTCTGAGATCATGGGTATAATTGGGGGGGGGGCACAGTAGAAAGCCAAGAGGAACTTAAGTGGAATGGGGTGTTTCTTTCTGCAGATACGGCCTCAGGATAGGGCTGGGGTAAGGATTTTACCACACTGGATGGACCTAGGTGTCAGATGGCCAAAAGGGTGGAGAAAGCAGGGTTACTGAGAGCAGGCAAAAATCAATGAAAATAACAACAAATATGAAAAATATATAATACATATAATAGTAATAAAACACATGAGGCTTACCAGTGGATTCCTTTGTCCATGAGGAGCCTTGCAGAGCAGAGCTGTGCTCCTTGGCCCTAGAGGTGTCTTTTGTGGGAGGGAAGAGCTCAGCTGAGCCTGTTGGAGATGGGCCAGGGTGATGGTCTTAGGGACCCCAGGACGGAGCTATAACCCAAGGTGGGAGGGCTTGAATACATTCCAGTGACTCTGATTAAGTAAAATAACACAGATAAAGTATCTGGCACCGTGCTGTCCTCATTCTGTGTTCAGTTAATGTTAGCCTCCTTTAGGGGTTGAATTGTATCCCCCTCCCCCCACCAAAAATATATGTTGAAATAAAACCCCCCAAGACCTCAGAATGTGGCCTTATTTGGAAATAGAGTTATTGCAGATGTGATAAATAAATATGAGGTTCTATTGGCATAGGGTGGCCCCTTAATCCAATATGACTGGAGTCTCCAGAGGAGTGGAGAACTATTACAGGTGCATGATGGGAGGGGGTCGTGCGATGGCAGACTGATGTGCTGCAGTGCAGGCTGAAGGAGGACAAGGATCATGGACCACCCTGAGAAGCCAGAAGAGAGGCGGAGTTCTTCCCTACAGATTTCAGAGGGAGCACAGTCCTGCCAATGATTTTGACTTCTGGCCAACAGAACTGTGAGACAATAAATTTCTGTTGTTTTAAGTCATTTGTTTCATGGTCGCCTTTGTTTGGGCAGCCCTAGAAACAAATACAGCTAATTCCCTCTTTGTTTTTTTTAAATATAACGTATTGTCAAATTGGCTTCCATACAAGACTCAGTGGTCATCCCAACAAGTGTCCCCCTCAATGCCCATCACCTATTTCCCCTCTCTCCCATCCCCCCATCAACCCTGTTTGTTCTCTGTATTTAAGAGTCTCTGGTGGTTTGCCTTCTTCCCTCTCTGTAACTATTTTTTTCCTCTTCCCTCTACCCATGGTCTTCTGTAAAGTTTCTCAAGATCCACATATGAGTGAAAACATATGATATCTGTCCTTCTCTGACTGATTTATTTCACTCAGAATAATACCTTCCAGTTTGATCCACATTGCTGCAAATGGCAGGATTTCATTCTTTCTCATTGCCAAGTAGTATTCCGTTGTATATATAAACATCTTCTTGATCCATTCATCAGTTGATGGACATTTAGGTTATTTCCACGATTTGGCTATTGTTAAAAGTGCTGCTCTAAACATTGGGGTACATGTGCCCCTATGTAGCTAATCCCCTCTTTGTGTAGACTTCCCAGACCAGCCCCAAAGGTGAGTGTGCAGGTGCCTCTATGAAGTGTGTGTCTAAGCGTAAACTAAATTGAGTTTTCCAATAGTAGGAGAATTAACCGCTAGAAACAGAAAAGAAGTGTTGATGAGGATGTGGAAAAATTGGAATGAGCTGTTGGTGGGACTGCAAAAGAATGGTGTGCAGCTATGAGAAACAGGATGGAGATTCCTCTAAAAATTGAAAATGAAACTATACGTAATCCAGCCATCCTACTTTCTGGGTATGGAGCCAAAAGAATTTAAAGCAGGATCTTCGAGAGATATTTGCATACCCATTACAGCATTATTCACAACAGCCAAGAGGCAGGAACAACCTGAATGTTCATCAGTAGATGAATGGATAAAGAGAATATGGCATATAAATACGGAGGAATATAACACAACCTTAAGAAAGGAGATCCTGTCACATGCTTCAACATGGAGGGAGCCATGTTGTGCTAAGTAAAATAAACCAGTCATGAAAAGACAAATACTATGTGATTCTTTGAGGCATCTAAAGCAGTCAAAATGATAGAAATGGAAAATAGAAAGGTGGTTGCCAGTGGCTGGGAGGAAATGGGAGGGGGGGATTAGAGTTTCAGTTTTGAAAGATGAAAACTTCATAGTGATGTGACTATAACACTACTGAGCTGTATACTTAAAAATGCCTAGATCAGGGGCGCCTGGGTGGCTTAGTCGGTTAAGCGTCCGGCTTTCGCTTAGGTCATGATCTCGCGGTTCGTGGGTTTGAGCCCCGCGTCGGGCTCTGTTCTGACTGCCAGCTCAGAGCCTGGAGCCCGTTTCGGAGTCTGTATCTCCCTCTCTCTCTGACCCTCCCCTGCTCACGCTGTCTCTCTCTCTCTCTCTCCTAGAAATAAATTAAAAAATATTTAAAAAAATGCCTAGATCATACATTTAATGTTAGATGTTTATGACCACAGTTAAAAAATGAAATGAAATTTAAAAAAGAATCACTTGGAGAAGTTCCCCCTTTAAAATGAAAACAATAACAAATATGAATAATTTATTACATGCATATATATGTGTGTATATATGCTTATATAAACCACATCAGGCTTACTAGCAGATTCCTTTGTCTGTGAAGAGCCTTGCAGGGCAGAACTCATGTTCCTTGGCCCTAGGAAGTGCCTCCTGTGGGGGAAGGGGCTCATCTGAACCTATTGTAGGTGAGCAATCAATTCTTTGATAATGTGATTGATTACCTTCTTGTTTTTTCCACACATGTATCTTTGAATTTTTGTACATTGGATTTTCTTAAAGCAAGGCTTGCTTGTAATTTGAGTGTGGAAGATTCCAGTGGGCAGTTATGGTGTCCCTGGATCTGCTGACCCTGGACCCTGCTCTCTTCCCCAAACATGGCATAATAGTGTGGAATTGGAGCTCTCTGCCTAATAAGAGGCATAAGAATCACAAGAAGGCTCCCACTAAAAGTCTGTAGAGGCAAATGACTTGATAGAACTGAGGCCAGGGGTCTGGGCTACCTCCTTCACGAAGCCTAGACGCCAACACTGTGATCTTGATGCAGTTTCTACACGTGATAAAATAAAAGCATATGTTTGGGTTTTGTCCCCAGTTTCTGGCACAGAGCTCCTAAAACCCTGGGAATTTCCTGAGTGATTGAAGTGCCTTTTATTATTCATAAGGCACCACTCTGAGACACACCTGACATTATGCTAATGAAGGGACTCTTGGTGGACCCTAGATGGCTTCAGGATGGGTGCTGGTTGCCTGAGGAATCAACCACACACAACCATGTGATTGGAGGGTTGGAACTTTCAGAGTCCCACCCCTCTACCTCTGGGAAAGGGAGGGCTTGGGATGGAAAATTTCAATCCCCAAAGAACAATGACTTAATCAACCATTGTCAGGTGATGAAACTTTCCTACAAACCCTTACACGATAGGGTTAGGAGAGATTCTGGGTTGGTGAACACACAGAGGAGCTGGGAGGGTGGTGTGCCCTGTGAGGGTATGGAAGCTCCGTGTCCTTCTCCCCCCATACCTTGCCCTAGGCATCTTCTATTTGGCTATTCCTGAGCTTTATCTTTTATAATAAAACAAATTTTAAATAAAGGGTTTTCCTGAGTTCTGTTAGCTATCCTGGCAGATTATTGAAGCTGAGGAGGGGTTTGTGGGAACCTCCAATTCGTAGCTGGTCATTCAGAAATACTGGGGATAAAAAAAAAGAAATACCGGGGGCCTGGGATTTGCACCTGGTGTCTGAAGTGGGGGCTGTCTTGTGGGACCGAGCCCTTCAACTTAGGCGACTAACACCCACTTTAGGCAGAACGTGTCAGAATTGAATTGAATATAGGACATCCAGTTGACTTCAGAGAACTGGCCAATTGGTTGGTGTCAGAAAATATCTCAGGCTACATATCTTCCCTCGGTCTGGAATGAGTTCAGTTGGGGTTTCTTCCTTCTTGAGTGAGACAACTCCAAGTAGAAGATGCTACCTTTAGAGAGAGGATAGGGCTCTTGGCCCAGCTGGGCAGTGGGGATGTAAATAGGATGACCAAACAGGGGGCTAATGTTTGGATGATTGTGTGTCACACTCACCTTGATCAGTAAGTTAGATACAACCAGGGTGAGCTGCTCCTGACTGTCAGATGCCTCCTTCCTGCCTGTGACACTCAGAGAGACCATGAGCCCTGAACAACACCATATTGTTTTGTGATGTCACCTCTGAAGTGTTCTGAGTGTTTTGGTGACCAACTCTTGCACAGGACCTATACCTGGCACCTAACATTGGTATGGCTTTTTACTTGAGGTAGAAGTAATCATCTTAGAAAAGGTAATAGGTGTGGGTATCTCGGCTCCTAAGACTTTTTGGCAGCCCTTTACCCCAATGTGTCTTAATTTCTTAAAATCACATCTTATCAGATACCATCTTCACATGCTTTCAGACTCAGATTTTTTTACTGTACCTAAGTGACAAAAGGGGATAAGTGAGTAGAAAGTCTCCTGTTTTTCAGGTGAGCAACTGAGGCTAAGAGGATGGGCCGTGAAGCAGAAATCTTATTTTCTCTTTTCCACAGCACTCGAGGCCAAATTTTACAAGAAAAAGAGATACCGGATCTGAAAGCCTAGAAATTCCCATCAATGTGGTTCTGCCTCAGGTAGGGATATCCACAGAAGGGTGTAACTTAGTTGTAGCCAGAATAACCCTCCTCTTTCCAAACTTTGGCAAGATATTGTAGGATGAGCAGTGTAGTCAGGGCCTCAGATTCAAGTTGCCAACCAGCTGTGTGCTGGGTGGTGGGGGGGGGGTTGCTTAGCCACTCTGGGTCTTGGGCTTGTCATCGCTCAAATGAGGAAGGTGGGTTTGGTGACCTGGTAAGACCTTCCAGTCCTCATCACACGTAACATTTCCATGACGATCTGAAACGAATCCCTCTTCTCAGACTTAGATGTTTTTGTGCTTTGCTGTTGTAGGACCACCCTGGAGCTCTGGGGTGGGGTGGGGGAGGGAGGGACTAGGATGGGGACCTGGAACCAAATTCATATGACCGAATCCATACGTAGAAAAGCTGGGATGTGGAGCAAAAGGTACAAGGTGATTTGGAGGTGCCAAGAGAATCAGGGCCTGCCGAGTACCAAAGCCAGAGCGTAAGGGGACTTAGGACGGAGGCCGGGGGATGCATGGAGTGCTGCCAGGCCGGGGGGTCTGCGGGCTCCTCCTGCTGAGCAGCCCTTTCCTTGGTGGGGTTCTCCTGACGGATTGTTTCTGCGGCTGCTATGTCACAAAGGAGGCAGCCTTGCTTCTCCAGAGTCACCTGAGGCCCTGTTGGGAGATGATGGCGGTCCAACCAGAGGGGCTGAAATGTAGGGTGGAGGAGTCCAGTGCAGAGGTAACTACCCGAAAGCTCCATATGGGGGTGTGCCGGAACAGGATCAATCACCTGTGGGCATCATACATATCTACATATGTCTATATAGATATGTATAAATCTATATCTATATAGATATGTATAATATAAATATACAGATGTGTGTATATAAATATATAGATATGTATATATAAATAATATATAGATAGATATGTATATATAAATAAATATCTCTGTAGATATGTATAAATATATATAAATATATATAGATATATACATATGTATATATAAATATAAATGAATATATAGATATATAGACATGTATATATACATAAAAATATAAATATCTCTATAGATATGTATAAACAAATATATAAATATGTATATATGTATATAATAAATATACATATATACCTATACCTATACAGATATGTATATATAAATATGTATGTATATATAAATATATGTATATATGAATATATAAACTAAATATATACATATTTGGTTATAATAACATACATATTTAGTATAGAATTACATATATAATATATAATCACATAATTATATATAGTAAAATTATATATATGTTTTCTAAAGCCATCTCAAGGACTTTAAGAAGAACAGGATTAGAAAGAAAACCTTCAACATTCTTTCAATAGGTAACAATCTAGGCAAGTATGTTCAGTAGGAGGGAGAAGCAGGACACAAAAACATTCTGACTAATTATTTGTTTTCAAGTTATCCTTATAACTTAAAATTTTTTTAACATGTATTCATTTTTGAGAGAGAGAAAGAGACAGAGGGTGAGTGGGGGAGGGGCAGAGAGAGAGGGAGACAAGAATCCAAAGCAGAGCCCTAGGCCCTGAGGTGTCATCACAGAGCCCGATGTAGGGCTCGAACTCACGAACTGTGAGATTATGACCTGAGCTGCTTCACCAACTGAGCCACCCAGGCGCACCCATCCTTATAACTTTGTAATGAGCAGCCACTGCATCAGTTTCAACTCAGGAAGCTTAGAATGTAAGTTACCTTTGTCCTGATCATTAGTCAGCAGGGTTTGCCCACAGGGCCCGGTTCCTGCAGCTCTAGGAGCGTGTTTCGGGTCTGATTCTTTCCACTGAAATGCCGTGTAGTTCTGCTGGCCACTACTCCCTGAGGGTGGGTTTGCTCCTTTGCTTTGTTCACGGCCCACATAAATCAGTCTCTGCATCACTAGGGACAGGAAGAGGGTGCCAGTATGGGGGTGGGGGAGGAGATGGGGGCAGGAATAGGATTTGAAATTGTGATCATGTGATGGGGAGGTTGGAAAAAGCCTTTGATCTACACCTGACAACCCTTTCTGCTTAGCTGCCAAAGAGGCCAGCATGAAGGAGCAGAGAAGGTGAACGGGACTGGGGAGGGGCTTAAGAAGGCTCCAGCCTGTTCTGGGGCCATTCTCTTCCTGCATGGCAGGACCTGGTGCTCCTGTTGGAGTCTTGGGGGGCACAGAGGGCATGAAATGTGTACACCACATGGGCAGACGTGGCCTCATGTGTACAGCTGCCAGGGAGGCACAGGTGGTACACCAGGTTTCAGACACCTGCCAGGATGCTCTAGACTAGCACTCTGGGGGAAGGATGTGCGTGTCTATAAATGTAGATTATATGGACTGGGCCCCCACCAGGGCTGAGAAGGTAGGCTGCTTGTTAGACCTCCCCAAGTGAGATGGTTCATGGCGTGGGGTGAAGGATTGATCTGGTTAACACGGAGAGGGAAGAATACCGACTGAGCACTGATTTTGGTCACGTGGCAGGCACTAGGCCATGCTAGTGTGAGGTTCAGGTTGCACAGGCATGGGAACTGGGTTCCCCAGCAGCCCCTTTAGTAACGGCAGAGCTAGTGTTAGGGGCTTGAGCCCAGGCCAGTGTCCGCTGTCTCCACTACATCACACGCTAGGCGTATGCCACCTGGCTGGGCCAGGCCACATCGTAGCTCCCTGTTTCTTCTCTTGCTTGTAGGAAATAGCACCTCCTCTCCCCGCATCCTAACTGCTTGCCTTAGCTCCCTGCATGTATTTGCCACATGCTGCTTTCTTCTGGAATCCAGTCCATCTGGTTTAGAAGGGAATTGCAACAGCAGCTCTGTGTCTCCAGAAAGTGCCTCTGGCTTCCCAATCACGTTGGGCATTCGGGATTCTCAATTACATTGCAAACACCTGTGCTTCACTATTTGTTATCACCCTTAGGTCTTTTCAGGTCTTATTGATTTCCAGTTTTTCTTCTCACATTAAATATTTGTGTTTTCTGATCTATTTCCCAACAGCGCATTAACTTGCCAGCCATCAATGTTATTTCCTGCCCAAGCCAGCTGACCTGGTCCCTTTTGCACGTAACGATTCCATTCTCACAGGCTTCCTTATTTCCCCAGTGAGTGCTATCAGTGCATCTCACGAAAGGGATGGTTTATGGCTGGACCATTAACGAAGGGTCTACACCGGATCAGAATGAGCTCCGACAGCACCCTCCAGTGCCCTGCTCAGGCCTCCTGTTTCCATTCTCCTTTGTTAGGACTTGTTCTTCAAGTACAAGGAGCTATGGACTCTGCTCACAATACCCCCATCTCTCCCCATTTGAGTAACTTTTAGGAGAAAGATTTCAGGAGATTGTTTGTTAAACAATTAGCTGAAATGATCACATATGTTGACATCTTGGTCCTTATTGCTGTTAACTGTATAATTCTCTCAAAATCCATCACACTGACCTGTGAATTATCCTCTTACCTGTTAGCATTTATCAAAACCAGATACGCTCTATCGTGGTCATAGGCAGCTGAGTTAATTTCACAATATGATGACACTCAGCCTTGTCCCTTCATCTGAAAATTGGTAGCATACCCGCCTCTTCCTTTCAGCATCCTAAGGATCCTCAGCTTCACATACCTGAAAAATACCTCAGATGGCTAATGTTCTTTGTTGTATCCCTCAATAATGTTGGGAAAGTAGGTGTTTAAAAAAACTTGGTCTACAGGTTTTGAGTCTACTGGGGCATTTGGACATCTCTTCTGGTCTGTGGTAGCCATATTTTTCCAGGAGCAGAGAGAACTCTAGAGCACGTCAGCTCCGCCTGCCTAGTTACTGTCCAGTCCTCCCCAAATTCTTCAGATAGAAGGCCACCAACCTCAGAAACTACACCCTGGAAAGTCCCACTCAGAGAGTCCTGTTCCTTAGAAATGCCATAGCATCAGCAAGAGACTCTGGTATTATCACCTTCCCTCTGTTCACTGCCCCCCCCCCCCCAACCTTCCCACTGGCTATTCTTCCTCCATGTTCTCCATTTGCTAGAGGCCAGTGATCTGACCAAGGCACTCAGTGGTTGGTGACTTCAGGCATTTTCCCTGCAAGACCACTTGCATTTGAAAAGGAGATGCTGGGGGCACCTGGGTGGCTCAGTTGGTTAAGAGTCCAACTTCGGCTCAGGTCAAGATCTCATGTGGGTTCGAGCCCTGCATTGGGCTTTGTGCCGACAGCTCAGAGCCGTGAGCCTTCTTTGGGTTCTGTGCCTCCTCTTCTCTCTACACCCCCTCCCTCCCTGAGGTCTCAGCTGTGAGCATGGTGCTCCTGAGGGCAGACTTTCTTGGTTGTCTTCCTAACAAGGTGATGATGAGCCCCATGGCCAACTGTATTCCCCTTCCTGAACCCATCTTCTTATGCATCCATCCTTTCCAGAAGAAGCCAAGCTTCTCCTCTTTCCCCTTCTGGGTCTGTGTCCATATGGGAGTGCATTTCCCATAGATTAGGGAAGAGACCATCTTTTCTTCCTGGGAAATGTGGGCCATGGCTGCTCCGGGGACTAGGATCATGCTGCCATAGGCTCTACCTCCCAGGCTTAGAAGAACCTTTCAGAGTTCTCCTGAAAGCTCAGACCTCTTGGCAGGCCTCAAGGACATTAAGGACAGATTAATTTAGTCCATGATACCCAACTAGTGATACCCCTGGCTGAGGAGATCTACTGAGAAGGGCCTGAGAAGTCCTAGGGTTTTGTAGCTCATGTGTTTGCCTTGCTCCTTGGAAAGCCCAAACTTTGGTAAAGAAATAGATTCAGCATTTGCTATAGTGCTTTAGGCCAGGAGCATTCAAGCCTCACCAGCGGAACTGGCCATCTGCTCTTTATGACTGCTTGCCTCCCACTTCCTTGGCCTTTCACACCAGGAAGCAGGCAGAGCAGCTACATTTAGGTTCATTGTAGAGGTGACATTGAGAGCAGCTAAGTGACTTTCTCAAGAGCACTCAAAGATGGGACTCTTGAGCCCAAAGCTAATGGGAATTGGGGGCTTCTACCCTCATTGGATGATACATTCAAGATGGTGACATGAAAAGCAGCATGCTTGCATGCAAGGGGCAGCCCCTTTTAAGGACTACACGGATTGACCTGGGGTTTTGCGGAATTCGGAGGAGGAAAACCCCACTGCTATAGATTTGCCGTCACATAGTAACAGCTGTGCAGTTTAAAAATAGGAATTGAAACGAAGATAGAACTTTACCAAATACACTAAATATATTAAGACAAATGAAATCGGCACTCTTGTAGGCCAAAGGTGACAACAATTTCATGTCATTTAGGTCTGATATCACGTTCTTACTTTTCAGTGCATTTTCGTTGATAAGTTCACTGGCAAGGGCTCATTATACCTCCACTGTATGTGAAGTGTGCTGTTCTAATTTCCAGGACTGGAAATTTTATTTTAGGCGTGTCAAAATAAAAGGGGGGAAGGATAGTTCACTGTCCTCAGAGAAGTGTAATTTACCTATCTGGGGAGAAATGGGACGGGGCAGAGAAGCACTGCAAAGTAATGATATCAACACACGCAAAATAAAATATCTGCGCACTGTGAAGAGCAAGAATGAGTGTGTGGTTTGGAGTCAGATATCCTCTTTTAAACCCTGGCTCTTCCCCCTTGCTGGTTATATGATTTTATGTAAAACGTGATAGTTCTTCTCTGTAAGTTATTACAGATGAATATGGAAATCAACTAGCGTATCTCAC